GCACACAGGATAATCATGATGTTCTCAGTCTAAGGATTGTACACGCAATTATAACATATAAGCGAACTAGATATGTTCCTGGGTGGTCACTTGTCCTCTAACAAACACACACATGGATGTTTGATTGTTCCACACAAGTGACTTGAGACTACTCCCTCTTCCAATTGAACAAGCATAACACAGTGCTAGTCCATTTGGTTTGGATTACTAACATCCAAATAGTAATCGTATAACTAGGAACTTTTAAGAATAAAATACTGAGAAGTACATGTCTCTCAATTTTAACTCTTAAGACATAAATTCTGAACTTTAATTGTATGGACTTACAATGTAAACAATAGCACAAAAAAAATAGTATGATAAAAATAAAACTTTTCCCTTTATTAATTAAATGACAAGGGGCTTTTAGGGCATACCACTAATAGGAGCCCACCATCCATCAATGTTTGACTCTTATCCTCACTTGACGACCACTCTGAGTTGTTAGCTCTAGTAAGGTTTATCCTAAATAATGAAAACAAAAGAAGCGTTTAGGCTTTAGCCAATAGGTTATTAACTTTTTCTGGATTTCCTTTAAACACTTTCCCATTTCACCAAATTATCAAGATCATAATTCTTCCCAATGTTGATATCTATCAAGGGAAAAAGAGAAGGGACACTTTAGGAAGGCCTTGGTCCATTATTGGCTAGGAATATTACTGGAATAGAATCGAACCTTAAAATTTTTCACGCTTTGTGACTTCCTGCCACAAAATAAGCCTTCTACCCCTTTGGTATTTACTAGAGTGGGATAAAGCATGGCGATGTTTCCACCATGTCAACGTCTCATTCTTGCAAGGCCCTATACAACTGGGCCAAACCACTGTACCATCTACTCGACTAACATTGCCTGGTACCATGGCTTCCTTATATGATGTGATTTTGAAGAGATTTGGAACTAGTAGTCTGTGAAGCTTACTACCATACAGTAGTCATTATGAAATCTCATCTTTGCAAATTTCCTACCGAAAAGTAAATATGTTTGGAGAATTCTTCTTAGCCATGCCTTTAGTTCTTCCATAATTTCACCCCAAAAGACTTGTACAAATTTTATTAGCCCTCACAGTATTCCTTATTCTACACTACCCTTATCTTCCTCAGCATATCTCCCTAGCCATTTTCTAAAATTCTTTGTTCAAAAACCTCAGTTTCCTAAGTCCCAATCCTTCATCCTTTAAAGGACGACATGTTAAATCTTAATAAGTTAGTAATACTTGAATTCATTCTCAATACAAAGTGAGTAGTGATGTAGGAAGAAGAAAAATGAAGAAGGACAGAAGAATAAACCTGGGATTATGGGTGTGCAATTTACCTGCCAATCCACCCCCCCAACCCAACCCAACCCAACCCAACCTGCTACCCGTAGTTTAAGAAAGGTTATTCTCTTGAAAGTATCAGTATTGACCTGTTGGATAGGGATAGAGGTCATCTATTGTAGTACCTATGCAGCTATGCTACTTAAAAACATTATTTATCGGATCTCCATTATTGATGGTTGTGGTTATTGTTAGTATGGTGTTGAACATCATTGGGTTGTTGGGCTTTGTTGTTGATAGGAATCACGAAATTTCGGGATGAAATTTCCTTAAGGGGGGAAGATTGTAACATTCTGTTCTAGGAGACCGCTCGAGCAATCAAGTGGTCGCTCGAGTGGTGATTCGAGGTTCCTAGTAGCTTGCCTATTTACAGGCGAGACCGCTCGAGCAGTCAAGTCTTCACTTAAGCGTAGATGTGAGGCTCCCAGTACTTTCACTGCAGACCTGCAAAACTTCTGTAACATTGTATTTACCGCTAGAGCAGTGCAGTGTTTCGCTCAAGTGGTATGTTCGAAATCTCTTCATCACTCCCATTCTTGCAATCTTCATAGACGACAGATACATCTTTGAAGTAGAGAGGAGGTAGAGGAATAAAATGCAATATGAGCAATCAAAACTACCAGGTACTCACTCCTTAAAAATCACCCAAACTAAATATATCAAAATTATTATTTTATTATTTTTATCACTGCTAACACTGTCGCAATCTCCTCATCTCATCACAACAGAGCCTGTGTATTACTTATAATATATATATGGGGAGGTTGGGCTATGTTTTTTTATTTTATTTTTATTTTTTATAATAACAGTTTTCCCTTTTAAATGTAAAAAAAAATTAAAAAAAATAAAAACATTGAATTTGAAGGGTTGAAATTGAAAAAAAATTAAAAAAAGATGAAGCATTTGAGATGAATTTTTTTTCATCAAATTTGATAAAAAGAAAAAATTGGGATAAGAGGAATTTTTAAAAAAATTTTGATGTAAGGATTGGAGTATTTCATATCAAATCAAACTTTTTATTCAAATTTGGAGTCAAAGTAGATGAAAAAATTGGTGAAGGGGTTGGAGATGCTCTAACTTGATGGAGGGTGAAGATGAAGAGGCCAAATTAATTTCTTAAATATATATATATATATATATATATATTATTGAAAAACAAGAGAATTCCATTTCAAGTGTTCTCACTGTTGGTCTCTTGCCAAAAAACCACTGTATTCTTCTTCATAGAGGGATTTTGGGCCTATGTTCAGAGTTTAAGGTGGTTTTGTATGCTGCCTGTTTTTTTCTATTCTTTATTATCCCTTCCCTGTGTTTATTTATTGATTGTAATGATTCACATTATTATTCATAAACTCTTTTTGTTTTCTGATAAAAAAATAAAAATAAAAATCATATTGCAGAATGGTAATTTGTTTTCTCACTTTAACAGCCCAAACATAATTAGGATCACATGCCCAATCACAATATATTTCTTTTTCTTTTTTAATTTTTGGGTCGGAGCATCGATTACTTACCTAGAATTTATGTATTTTCACCATGAATCATTGATGTCTTTTTGCTTTGTCTACATATTTTGTTTGATCTCCGTTTTGTGGCAATCACTAACCCAATTACTTTTCAATTTTCAGCAATTTTTCTGCTTAAGTGGTGATGTCTATGGATGACAGTGTGGTTTAAGGGTTCTTTAATTTTGAAGTTCTATTTCTTTCTTTCCGCTCTCCCAAAGCTCAATGTAAGCATTATCAAATCTGACTCTGTATCTAAAATATTCTTTCTTTTATTTTTGTAAAATTGTTTCTCCACCTATGATTTTGAACTGATGAAGTAGAACAAGAGTGAGGTTTGTCAAGTTTTTAAATTCCTAACCTCATTTATTTGGTAGACTCATCAAATAATGGCTTGTGACATGATTTTCATTTTGTTCATTGACGTTTAAAAGGAGACGGGCATGTTCTCTTTTGTATGTGTAGCTTTTGAAATGGATTCTGCTTCAAACTCTACTCTTAAATAAACATTGGAATATGTGAAGCGCAGCACCTTCTACTTGCATCACACACATGCCACTATGGCTCCGTTTGGTGTAGCTGTTAAAACAGATTATAGATTATAGCTTAACAGATTATAGATTATGACTTTAATCAGAAGTTGTTAATCTGTTTGGTGTAGCTGTTAGATTATAGATTTAAGTTGCTGAGTATTGTTTGTTAAATAAGCTGTGAAGTAGCTTTTTCAATTAACTTTTATTTTTTGTTATTCACTACTTATCTACATTTCTCATAAAAAATAATAATAATATTCTATAGTCCATTTGGGTCTTTTTCTATTTTTAAAAAAAATAAAAAATAAAAAAATCTAAGAGTATAACCGTAAATTAACATGTCTATAGCAGAAGCTGATAATCAGAAGCAAGGGGTGTGCAGCTTCTTAGAATCAGCTTTTTTGACTTAAAATAAGTTAGAATCAGAAACCGTTTGAAATAAGTTTAACCAAACAGTCCAAAATAGCTTTTCAAAAGCCAAAAGTTATAAGTTGGCTCAGAAAAGCCCAAACAAACACCTTCTATATTGGGCATACTTGTGGTTATGCATGTACAACTAAAACAATTTTTTTCAAATGAAAAAAAAGAATCGAAGTATGGATTGCACAAATATTGCTTCATCGTGTTGGTTGTACAAAGTGTTTGTTTGCTTTTGTACCAATGTTTATTTTCTGTAGTCCTACCTCACACCTCCTTTATATGGCTTTCATTAATAACAATTCTTCACATGAAGTAAATGAGCCGGTTGATCCATTATATATCCTGAGAGTCTATCAAGAATTGACCTATTGAACACACCCTTCCTTTCAAATAGCAGGCATATATCAATGTGATGCAATGATTTTGGCCATTGTTCACATTTATTTATCAAAATTTCAATGAATTTAAGCTGGTTATTAATTTTGTTTAACTTGACATATGTACTATGTTATTCATCTTTATGGCTAAACAAATGATGAAAATTGTAGGCTTATTTTGAAAAATTGAACACACCAAAGCATGTAACATGGTTTTACTTGAAGTTTTGCCTGTATTTCATTTCATAGAGATTTGGTTTGTTAGAGATTGTGTCTTCTCATGACTATCGAAGAAACTACAAATTTTACCATAGGTTACGGATATGGCTATATGCTTAGTTGCTTACACCGACTCCATTGTTCATATTTGATTTCACCATGTTTAGGCATTGTGTATCTCTATATCTTTTAGTGACATATAATAACTTCTTTTGGTATATGGTTAGTCTTGCTCTCATTTCTGCATTACTAGAAGCTCATGCAAATAGTAGTTTTATGATGAAATGCTTTTTCCTTCCCGTCAAAGAGTCATAGACTATTTATTTTAGTGCTTTCATAATTCACCATAAGTTTGTTGCTAAACCACTCTTTTATTTTATTTATTATTATTATTATTTTTTTCCCTGTGGTGTTTTTAGATTTTAGTAAAAATTGTTCAAGGTGTAAATGTCATCTATGCCAACTAAATGTTATTTAGGTTTCATGTGGTTTAAGTTTCGGTAGATGCTTGTCAAATATTTGTTTGTCATTGTATTTATCACAAAAAAAAAAAAAAAAATCTGTCATTGTTATTATCGTTTTCATTTACAGGTTTGATACATTCATTTATCTGCTCTGCCCCAACTACTGCTATCCTTGGGAAACCAAAAGAGCTTCTGAAGGATGGTATCAACTCTTTCAATCATTTTCTGCTGCGTCCGGTGAAGTAAATGTTGCATCTGATTTAAAGAAATGTGGCATCTTGTTGAAGACCGAAAGAAGGTTTGATGAATCTAGATATGAAGTGGCTTGATGATACTGTATTGTTGTTGTTTCCTTGGTTCTGGTCGTGCTGCTTCTTTTATCAAACTCTATTTGCTTTTGTGCACGTGTCACATATAAAAGCTCAATCGTAAATTGACTGGTTTTATGCTGATGCTACTGTTGTTGCTGCTTTGGCTTTCTAGCCTTTCTGTGCAGCTATTGCTATCTTCTCATGGTCTGTATGTTGTATCTGTTGTACATATGTTCATGTCAGATGTAAACGAGGCCTAGATTGCCTAAATGGTATTGTCCTCATCTTTTGCTTGCTTAGATGATTCCCATCCTTGTTTGTGTTGTCCGTGTATGCTCCTTGTACTACGTGTTTACTTTTGATCTTTGGTATATATTGACTTACCCAAAAAAAATGACGTTTTGTTCATCAAATAATTTGAGTGTTGAAATTTGATTCATATTGTTTGGCTTTAGTTGCAGTCAGCATATTTTCACATTTTGCAGCAATAGAGAGTAAGTGACGGCAGACTAAAGATTGAAGCATCTAAGAATTATAAGTTCTGCCGAGGGGACGTCCACCTAGAGAATTTTTTTCTAAAAGAGAAGGGTGAAAAGATTTCACCTTCTAAACTCAAATCATATGAACAATGTTACTGTATAAATTAGTAATTATGTGCCTGAAATGGCAAAGGAAACTAGAGAGTACTTCGTAATCTTTCAACAGCCTCCTCAGCCCTGCCTACTATGAGTTTGAGTCTTTCTGTCAAAACAAATCGAGCCAATAAACATTGAATACTAACCCTGTGATTATAATTACAGTGAGCGTAATCTCATATGATGAAAGATTCATTACATAGATTTATGGTTCTAGGTAGTTCTAATCTAAAAATCAAGAATGAAGCTCTCTTGATTAAGTGGTGGTGCAGGTTTGCATCTGAGCCAAATCTCCTTTGGAAAAGAGTGGTTTGTGAAAAGATAAATTGGGACAAGAGATGGGATATTTCATTTCTTAAACGATAATGCAGTTTTTTTTTCCCCCTGAACATGTCCCCAATAATGTCCTACTAAAATTGGGAAATGGAATGAGATTTCTCTTTTTGTTTGATAAATGGGTGTCTGATGTAACAAAGATGGTCTCATTAATGATTTCATCATTATGAGTATGTCATAGAGGAAGATTTTCTTGGTATGGGAGGAGGAGGAAGACCATCATAGGTTGTTGCAAATGCTGCCAAAGGTTGATCAGGTTAATGCCAATCAATGGATCAATTAATTTTGAGAGTGGATCCATCAAGTAACGTCTCACTAAAATCTTTACAAAACCTGTTTACCTCATCTCAATGTTGTATTATTCCTACAATAGAGTTTGTGGAAAAGCATTGCCCCCTTTGGAATTGTTGTTTTTGCTTGGCTAGTCCGGCGCAAAAGGATTACCATTTGTGATCTTTTGATTAAAATGAATTCTCTGGATGAATCCTGTTCTAGGCTCTGTTAATATTTGTGCGAATGAGTTACTATGTAGATCTTTTTGAAAATTTGGGGTGATTGTTTGTCTTGGTGGGAATGGAATGAGTTTGTTTTTCATCAGTTAGTGCCTTACTTGATTGGTGGTTTGGAATAAAATTCAAGAATGTCAAAAAGCTCTTATGGGAGGCTATAATCATCCATGACAGTTTTTTGGACCATTTGGAAAACCAGAAATAACCTTATCTTCAATAATGGTTTAGCTTCTTGGGAAAATGTCTTGGAGTTAATTAAAGAGAAAGTTGCAACTCAGGTAAAAGGATATTGAAATATCCCTTGCTATACAGTTGCTGATTTAATCTTAGAGTTGAAAGAAGTCAGAGGCCTACACTTCCCTTTAAAAGGTGAAGGACTTCGTGATTTTCAAGTTTTCCCTCGACAAGGATCTGCTCGGTTCTCTTTGTTCTTAGTGGTGTTAATGGCGATTCAGCTTTGGATGATGATAAGGACTGATTCAATATTGGAAGATGGATGAGAGTGGGAATGGAATGCAAGATGGCGTGGAATGAAATACTCATTCTCACTCTGCTGGTTGGTTTCTAACATTGAATGACGTGGAAATGGACACTTGTTAAGCTACTGTAGTGGAATGAAAATTCTAAACCAAAACACTGTTCAAAGAAAAAAATTCTAAACCAAAACTGATGTACACTATTAGGAATTGAAAACAATATGTACACAAACTTTCTTCTACAGAAAAAGGTGTACCTAAAAATTGAGTTGGTTGGATTAGTTAAGATTAAAAATCTTACGCTTGAATGGTTAAAAAATCCAAATAAATGAGTTATTTATCTCGTGTGGACTCAGCTAATGTCTATATATAGCTCTCATAAAGATTGTAAGTCCATAGAGTAAAAGCTTTTCTGGTTGGTTTTGTGGCTCAGTTTTGTTACTAATGTTCCCCATATATCAGTGACCAGGTTTTGAGAATTGACTTTCAAAAGGTTATAAACATGAAGGAAGGAAACTCACAGAAATCATCCAAAGTTTTGGAGCTTAGCATCATCGAGAAACTTAACTAGTTGTTGTCTTGGCAGCCACTACGAGGCATTTGGCTTAATTGCCTGTGTGTATGTCATTCATGGTTCTGCTTTGCATTGTTCGGAAAGGCTTTTTTGGTTTTCATGGTTAATTGAGAGCCGTCAAAATAGTGTAAGTTTTTTTTTTTTTTTTTTTTTTAAATTCTGATGCTTCACCTTTATTTCAGTACTAATTTTGCCATCTATTATATCACCTTCAGTTTCTTTTTCAAGCAGTTCATTGAGAGTTTGAGAAGCATATTATATCATCAGAATTAATTGCCATTTTAGATTGTTGTTGGTACCTAAGACCCTCCTAGTGTATTATCTGGTGCCTAAAACCTCTCTTTATGATCTTGAAGACTTAATTATTGCCAATTGTCAAAAGATCTTAATGAGTATATGGGCTTTGACATACACTAAGCATATAGGTTTTACAACAACTAAAAATGAAACAAATAATTATAAAGATATAAAATACAAAGGATGCACAAAAAACTTAGACGGAATTTTTAAAATTATTTATTATTATTATTTTTTTATTATTTTTTTTTTATAACATAAAACACACCATTCAAACTTATATATCAAAAATTTATACGTAGATAGAAATACTTACATAGCTTGATCTTGCCTTCAAAAGCTCTTCACCAAGCTTTGATACCAAATACAAAACTAAATGTTAATAATAAATATGATCATAGTCTGCATATTACTAAAGAATCTGCAAATATAAATAGTGTATGTTCTAGTTTAAATAATATTACTGATGTTATGTGTTCTTGGTTTTCTAAACTAGATAAAAATCAAAAAATAAATCAAAATTATCTAGAGACTAAAGTTGAGTCTATAGAATCTAAAATAGACAATTTGGGTTCTATAATAAATATTGATTTAAATAAAAAAGCAAAAAACCAAATAAACAATTTGGTGACAAAATTGGAAACTATATCCTTCATAAACAATGATGGAATGAATAGTCCAGGAGATAGTGACATTCCTGGGCTATTTTATGGTACAGAAGATATTATGGTACTTCAAACCAATACCTATAATAGAACTGAATATGAAAATATTGTTGAAATATTGGATTATTGGAGAAAATTATATAAAGATCCAGATTTAGGTATTGATGAAAGAAATATGTAACGCCCTCAAAACTAACCCATTATATATCATTGACATTCATTATTTAAAGAAGACATTCTATTAATTCATTCATCAGAGTATTACAAAATAAAGCATTACATGTATCATTGAATAAAATGCCCTACAGGCTTACATCTTTCCAAGCCAACACTTGGATACAAAAATATGAGTTCTAACTCAATACAAGAAAAGCCCTAGGCTTGAATGTTTACATGTACTAACAACCAAAAACAAACAACTAAAAAAAATAGTCTTCAGAATCCAAGTCCTTCAAAGCTAAGTCCTTGGAGGTAGCTTATCACCTGAACCTGAAAATGATGTTCCCATAAAGGGTGAGCCACAGCCCAGCAGAAATATACTAAACCACATATAAGAAAATGAATAAAGCAATAGTATTTGACAGATGGTTAACCAAGATAATCAACCACTTCATTTTACAGTCTCATGACACTATTGTCTAAAATACAATTTACTTTCCAATTTTATCAACATGGCTCAGAACCTGGCCAAACTTACAACAGTGAATTACATATACCATATTCACATCCTTCCAATATCAACAAACAAATGAGACTCAAGCTCAATTCACAACACTTCATACTTCCAGATTGATACACATTTTAGTGCTGTATCAATAAAAACACTTCAATATAATAAGCACACATAAAAGTGATGCTAATGGAGTCCATCCCCTATCTCCTCCCAAACAAAAAATCCGGTTTAGAGGTCCATCCCCTATCTTCCCCTAAACCGTGGAGTACATCCCCTATCTCCTCCCACACAAAACAATATAAATGCAAATGCACATGCAATGCTCAATCAATACACGTATTTTCTGTATCAACGCAACAGTCAAAATTAATGACTTAACCAATGTGATTAGTTTCAGTTATTCCTAATCCACATGCAATGTCTACAACAAACACGACTATCCTCCACCGATAGCCCAAAACAGTTACTTCTAAACTGAAAATAACTATGTCAACAATTCAATAAACAAATGATTCAAATTATCCAACTACGCCATTTAATCAATGAATTCCCCAATTCCATGAATTAAACCATCTTTTCCCAACTCCATGAATTAATTATACAAATTAATTTAATAATACAACTAGGGTTTTTCCCAAAATTACCAAAGTACTCCCAACATATCAACATGGTTTGGGAGGACATAGAGGATGGACTCCATTGATAACCAAGTTGGCGAGTGTCCAGGGTGAAAGTCCGAAATCTTGATTACGTTTGCATAACGCAGATAATTGAAGTATGAAAGTGTTTTAATATGAGTTGTAGTTCATGTGAATTGTGAATAATGGAATTTTAATATGATTTGTAGTCTCATGCGAATTGTGGATAATGGAAGTGTCTTATATGAGTTGTAGTCTCATTTAATTG